TCACAATTTCTATTAATGTCTTCCCTCCAGAGTGTTCTGCTTTTAAGAACGATCAGCAATAGATGAGCCTGTAAGTGAGGCTTCAGCAGAGTGGAGGCTACACCTCTTCACTTTGTCTCCAGTGGTGAAACAGGATGGGCTGCCCCTGGTTAGCAGCATAGTTTACATACATTGTTCTTGTTCTGCGTTGTTACATAAGTTAGTCTCTGTCTGCATTAAAATGTCTGCATTGAAACTAGCACACTGCTATCACAGGCCAAGGCAAATTTGTGGCCAGATGAGTCAAACACAATCTTCTCTCCCTTGGCGAGGTCAGGCCTCTGTAGAAAACTCTCCCCCAGACATTACATTTGAGTAAATGTCATGCTTTGTCAAATCGCACAATACCAATATGCAGTTGGAGCACATGCTGGCTGTTTCTATGAGATACATTTTGCTGCAAACCTAGACACAAACATGTACAGCAGTGCACTGTTAGTGGCTTACTGGCCCTTCCTCCCCACACATCAGAGGAAAATTAATGTAATAAGCTACTCGAGTCTGTTTCAAGGTAACATTTTTGCCAGCATTGTCCCTTCCCCTTGTGACCTTCCTCAGCATTCAGTATGCACACAAACAGATGCATGAGTCAGATAATGCATCTCCCCTGGACTTCTTTTCCATTTTTAGTTTGAAGGCAGAATCGAATGCTGCAGCCCAATGCACATAGGTCACAGTGGAATGAGTGGTAATGATCTTCACAACATTCTGAATGGACAAGTGAGCAAAGATTATAATCAGAGAGGCGAGGGTTATGGTAGCCAAGCTACAAGGTAATTAGTCTGTAGTCATTATGCACTCTTTTCTGATGTGATATGAACCCTGCAATGTTTCAGTGGATCCACCCATCATTGGGAATAAGGAAATCAGAGCGACACCATCTTATCTCTTACAAGACAGGGGGCTGGGATCACTTTTCCAGATTTTCCCAGAAAAGCGTGTGAAATATGAAAAGCTAGTTTGCACCAAGTTCAAATACCATGCGAAAGAAAGTGTACTGCACAAATAGAAGGTTTCTCCATGCATTCAAAGGGTGTCACTCTATTTACTCCAAGCTCTTACACACTACTCCAAATCATTCCCTCTCTCTCACACACATGCACAATGGCTTGAGCAGGGGTGGGATGAAGGATGGGGAAAGACCCAGGATATGTGGTGCTCTGCACATGGCAGTTTGGATCCTGGCCTATATAACCCATGTAAATCCATGGGGCCAGCAGACATTTGTGACAGAGTGTGTGTGTGTGTGTGTGTGTGTGTGTGTGTGTGGTATTAACCAGCGTTCACACAGCATTAACTTGTGTGCAGATTTGTTGGCTGGTGAGGTCACAACCAAAATAAGGGAGAAGAATGCTGGGGGCATTTCCCGGAGCAAATGTTGATGAATTCCCAATTAAATCTCAACTCCTTCCTTGGACAGTTGGACAGGCAAGGCAAAAGGAAACTGCAACTAGTTAACTACAGCCTTTTCCATATGTTATGCTGCTACTGTTCAGAACATTCAGTTAACCGTGCAGCGGGTAGTAGCAGCCTTCATTCTGATGAATGAGAATCCTCTGAATACTTGAACCGCCCTGTGTCCTTAACCATGAAAAGGAGGCCATCAGTTATTATGCATGCCTAAGAAGGGCTTAGTCTAGCAGGTGTCAGATAGGGTTTGGCTGGATTACAGGACTTTGGATAGCTCCAAGCAGGCACTTTTCTCTGACAACAGCTGGAGCTCAGGGGAGACCTGTATGAGGGTGTGCAGGGACTCTGGGCTCCACCCTTTGGTCCCAGATTGGGCAGATTTGTCCTGTGCTGCCCTGGAGGCTACCCACTGTGCCCCAGATCCACCCCTCAAGCAATTTAAGGAGCAGCTCTAAGGGTTTTTAAAGAGTTTTTTTAACCCCCCCCAAAAAAACCAGCAACCCTATTTTAACATGACGTTTCAAATAGGGTTTAAAAGGGGCTGGCATGCACTAGCACTGCATAGGATTGGATCCTCCTATTTACCAGCTGTTAAGCAAGATCAGGCACCCCCAAACTCGGCCCTCCAGAGTTGTTTTGGGACTACAACTCCCATCATCCCTAGCTAACAGGACCAGTGGTCAAGGATGACGGGAATTGTACTCCGAAAACATCTGGAGGGCTGAGTTTGGGGGTGCCTGAGCAAGATGATCCAATTCTGCACAGTGCAGGTTGCTTGAAAAGCAACACCTGCAGCCCACAGAAACAATGCACACCTGTTGTGTGTAGACACTGCTCCTGGAGGGAGTCAGGCAGGAAGGGGAGTTGTTGCACTGGACCAACCTTCTCCCAGGAAGACACAGCAGCTGGTCAGGTAGGTCTCAGCTCTCTTCCTGTGGTTTTCCTACCCTGCCTGCCTCTGATTCCTGCCTGATGCCCCACCTGATGCCTGATTCCTGCCTGCTGACAACCACAGGCCACTCTGTGTCCATCCAACCCAACATCTCCTATTCATGGGCGTATATGTGACTAATCCAAGGATTCCCAATTTGGATCAGGATTCAGGCCTAGGCAGAATCCAGTTCATAACCCTACCCTGCACCCATTTCAGGCTAGGCTACCCTACCCAGACTCCACCTCCCACCTGAAGAGCAGAGATGTAATGTTCTAGCCTGGAGCCCAGCACACCATAGTCTCTCAGTCAGCTCCCACCTTGTGCATTGGCTGCACTAGCAAATGAATACTGAGGACATCCCTGCTGCACGTACAGGAATATTGTTTTCCACACATTCAGTGACTATGTCTAGATCAGCAGATGGAGTCTACCATTGCGATGCTATCATCTATACTGAATGCATGGAGAGAAAATGGAGGAGCTAACAGAAGAAAGGGCTAAAAAGAAGTCTTTCCTAGCACTGTTTTTAACTAGATATACCTAAGATTAAACTGATCTACCTTACAGCCTGAATCAATTTTTCTTTCTTGTTTTGAGCTATTTACTGTTATCCTGCTTATACATATGAGTGTCTTGGAGAAAAACTTGCACTTTCTCTCCAACTTTCCTCTGAAGCAACTAAATATTCAGCTTGAAGTGTCAAACAGAAGTCCAAACTTTTTTCCAAGTCAATGAAGCAAGCATTTTGCTTTCAGTTTAGTAAATCAGTTTCTTGAGATGCAAAAGTGTGGTCAATGCCTCTTTCTCTATGGTGGGGGGAAAGGGTTTTCAAGCATTATGGTATGGTATAGCATGGTTTATTGGGTATTATAATATTATTTTGTTAAACGTGGAACAAAACAATTTGTGGATCTTGCTGCAGTTATCTTCAAGTGAACGGGGGATAACTGTTTTTATATACTGTGTGTTTCCTACTCAGCTGAAATACTTCGGAAAACCAGTGTCATGAATAGGTCCAGGAATGTGTTATTAATAGGCAATGTTGGTTTTGTTTCAGATAATGTTTTTGTATTCCTCCCTCAATGAGTGTCTGAGCAGGAATCTGTCAGGTCCCTCCTTCCCTCCCTGGAAACTTTTCGATGTGTTCCAAAATCTTGTATCAGACTATATTGCTTTTCTTTTTTCTTTTAATGGAAATACTGCACCCATATTTTGTTATCATTTCGTGTGTTTGAGCTTCCACAAGACAGTTTCTCATACTAAAAAGGTAAGTTCATAACAGTTGTCATCACAGCCAAGTGATCATGGACCAGCTCATGAACCATTGCTAGGATTTATATTCAACTTATACTGATGTTTTTGTTTTCTCAGTGTAAACTGAAAACGCACATTAGCTCTATTCAGGCATTCGGTGGAGGGAGCTCCCAGTCCACATTCTGTCATTGCAGAACCCAAACTCCTACTCCTAACAGTCCGCTGACAGGCAAAATGGGATGAAATGTAACTTGGAGCCACGAGCAGCTCCGTTCTTCTTTGGTACATTACCTTAGTTCTTTCCCTATTTCTTGTAAACATGGCAGTATAGAATTTCACTTGCGCACCTCTGCCCACTTGAAACAGGCTTTAGCTGCTTGGAAAGGCATTAGGTGAACAAATGGGTAATCAAGAAAACCAGCTCTTTTTGTTGTTCTATTACTTTTCCACTCCATCCTTCTTTGTAATAGGAACAAGGTGGTGCCTTAACCCTGTTCTTTACAGTATCTTGTTATTTAAAGATCACATGATGGATCAATGGAAACTCTTCGAAGAGACAAATGTGTCATTCAGGCAACCTGTTTTTATCCTGGAGACGGTTCAGAATATGTTGGAAGTAGGTGCCATAATCTCTCATTTTGGTGCACAAAAATAAATAAGGAAGACCACTCAAAGGAAATGCTGTTACAACTAGAGCACAAAATTGCTTAGTGCTCTACAGAAGCAGGTCAAAGAGGGAGGGGGTGTTAGCTCTCTGTGACTGCAAGCAGAACCATGAGAATTCGGGTCTACTTTTGACTCTGACCCTCTCGAACTATGTGGCCCCATTAATATTACAAGCATGAGAATTAATCAAGAGAGACGTTCACCTTTGGCTCATGGAGATTTCACATCCCGCCATAAGGCAGTTTGATCCCACAGGGAGCAGAACAACAGCAGCAACTTCTCTGCGTTTCCCTAATGAGCTCCCAAATTAGAGAGAACCTCTTGGCATGATAAGATGCCAATTGCCAAGAAAAGAAATACTACTGAATCATGTCACAGCAAGCGGGCACAGAGTGTCCATGTGGGGGGGGTTTCTGCCTGAGGAATCCAAATAGCATTCCCTACCCCCAACCCAACCTACAATGCTAGGGCCAACACTTTTAAAAGTCTCAATGCATAATTCAGACATCAGTTACTGCCATCATTTCTTCCCCATCTGAAACAGGTCATCTCCTTCTGCTGCACAGTAGAGAGAGTATTATTATTATTAATGTCATTATAAAGAGAACTGAGATGGAGCAGGATTTGATTGGAGTCCGTATTCAGCTTTAGAAACTTGAGCACTGGGTGTAATTTGATCACTATCAAATTACCAACTTTGATAAAAAACCACCAACTTTGATCAAATTAAATAAGCTATATAGAACACTTTCTATATAGCTTATTTAATTTGATCAAAGTTGGTGATGTCACATCATTTTTAAAAACTGTAATGATTGAGATGTATTTTTTCCAATTAAAAGTGTAACAAAAGGGGGAGGGACTAAGAACAGGAGGATGGTCAATGTGCTCTTCTAAACATACCTGTAATCACAGCCAGCCCTTTCACAAATGAGATTAAAGAGCTCATCTTTCAGATCAGAGCTTCTCAGCAATTTATAGTCTCAGTACTCAAGCACCGGTATGGAATGATTTTGTGATAATATTTAAAACAACAATTTATATAACATGGACTTGGTGATTATTATAATAACTCTAAAAGGCTAGCACTTCTTATCTATGCATTTTAGCACCAGAGGGCTGAGGTTACAAGAAGTCATTGTGGCATATGGCTGTTAACCAGAAGGTTGGTGGTTGGAGCCCACTCAGGGATGGCTGTGGGCAGGATCCTTGCATTGCAGGGAGTAGACAAGATGACCCTCAGGGTCTCTTCCAACTCTACAATTCTGTGGTTCTATGACTATCTTAAGGCTACCAATGAATTCACGAGGAAAGGGCAATTTGAACTAGGGACATCCTGGTTCATAACACAGTATCTCAGCCACTTAGCTCTATTATATGAAAGCATCTGTGGAACTTTGGGCCTTCCAGATGTTGCTGAGATACAACTCTCATCAGCCCCAGCAAGCAGGGCCAATGACCAGGGATGATGAGAGATGTAGTTCAGCAACATCTGCAGGGCCAGAGCTACCCACAGCTGTATTAAAGGCTGTAGTAAAGAATCTGAGGGGCAAATGGCAAACCTGCTTGCCAGGGAGACACAGGAAAAGGACATGGAAATGCCCATTATCATATCACAGCCTCTAAATTAAAATGGATGTCGGATCAGCCTTCCAGTACAGGAACACTGATCCTTATCAATCAATATCTTGTCTCCAACAAGAGCCTAACTCAACCAGTTGCTAGGGAACTGGAGTATCTAATGATAATTTCCATTCCTTCTCATGCTTCCTGTAAGCTTCTGGCAGATTTTAACCCAGGGGACCCTCACCACATACACTCACCACTGTTTTGTGTGATTTTTAAAGTCCTATTTTGAATTCATTCATACTCCATTACTGTATCCACACCCATCGTCTAAATGAGGTGTGAGGTCTCTGGTTCTTTTTATTGTGTGACCGTGTAAACAGCTGTTCCCTACCTGGCACTTTCAAACCCATTCATGTTTTTTATGTACTTCTAGCCCAAACTCAATTAGCCTTCTCCTTTGTAATAGCATGCAGTGTGAAAGCTGCCAGGCCTTGGCAGGCATATGTGGCAACTGTCAGCTTGTCGAATACTTTGGATATGTTTCTTCCTGCTATTTCTCTACAGGTTTTTGCTGTGTAAGCAGGGCCCTTGTAACTAGCTGTGCACTTCAGAGGCCTGAGAGCGAGGAGCTGACGGGAGTCGGCACAATTTTGCTGAAACTTCATGAAGGGGAGCGGGCCGTATCCTCATCAACCACAAATTGTCAGCTTGCAGCTGATGCAGACTGACATAATCTCCAATGGAAATGGGAGGAAGTAACTCGAGAATGTGGAGGGATTGGTGCAGACAGACAGAGAGACGGACTTCAGAACACCATGGAGATATGATCAAGACTACATAAAGTACAGAAGTTAAGAATGTTCTATTCAGCATAAAAACTATTTGGCTTGGCCACAAGCAGCCAATTCCATAAACATTCAAACTGGTGCCCTCTCATTCTTGGATGACTTATACATTTGCTTTTCATTTATTGCACACAATCCTCATGGTCTCCTCTCTGCTGCTCTTCTAGTGAGGAGAGAGATGTTTTTCTAAGAACAATTGTAGTGGAGGGAAACGTTTGCACATTCATTGTTGTGGTATGTGGGAAGGGGTGTCAGACAACCCTCCACACCACACACACACACACACATCACATTGAACAAACATAAGGTTAATGCAATTGAAATATCAGTTTATTTGTCCCAAAGTGATATTCCACATCCAATCTTCAAGGTGAGGGTTAACCTTAGTACTTACATGTTCAGGATAGTCTTCAGAGCATTTTCTCCCCTCCCGCGTATGGTACAATGTTCATAATAGGGAGTTTAGGGTTAGGGCATATCTCAAGATTGGGACCTACAATGTCAGACATTAGTAGATGGTAGCATGTATGCACGTACAGTGGTACCTCAGGTTACAGATGCTTCAGGTTACATACGCTTCAGGTTACAGACTCCGCTAACCCAGAAATAGTACCTCGGGTTAAGAACTTTGCTTCAGGATGAGAATAGAAATTGTGCGCCGGTGGTGTGGCAGCAGCAGGAGGCCCCATTAGCTAAAGTGGTACCTCAGGTTAAGAACAGTTTCAGGTTAAGAACGGACCTCCAGAACAAATTAAGTTCTTAACCCGAGGTACCACTGTACAGCATTGGAGCACAAGCAAAATACTGAAAAACCTTATCTTTGTGCAAAAAAAGCATACATAATCCATATTGATTTTATCTTCCCGAAAGCGACTGATAAATACCTAACAGTATTTTTCCTACATTTCCATTCTACAAATTGCCAACTCTGTTTCTATAGCAACTCTTTTGTTTGTCACTTGCAAGCCACACTGGAAATAGCCTATTTTTTTAAGAGGGGCGAATCTAAAAAGACTTTGATATAAATAGTTATAATAATCCTACAATGAATGTAAACCCCACTACAAACTCAAATAAGGAGGAACTCATTTGCCAGATAAAGAAAACTGAATAGAGGATCGCTATTGAATTTTTTATTTTTTTTAAATGGGTGTTTTATGTGTAGATTTCATTTTCTTCACTGGCACTGAAATGACAGCCAAATTGAATTACGATGGTGTTCTCATATAAGCATTCTAGCTCTGTAATGTACGGCAAGCACTGCTGTGAGCACATACGCACATTGTATAGCTATGACTCCCCAGTTGTATATGGAGACCATTTGTGGAGTTTCTGGGTCAAAAAGGCAAGAATTAGCTGCCCAGGGCATATTCCTGAGCACCATTCCATTTGTTTACTTGCAGTAGATGTCTTATGGGGTGGAGGCGGGTTTACAGAACCAGAGAGATTGCTTCGACCCAAACATACATAAGAACACAATAGCTGCATTGTCTATTTTTATTTTTATCATCTTTATGAATTTGATGCTAGCTATTTCCCCTCACTTACCTGAGGATTATTTTCCTCCACCTTTTTTGGCAGACAGGACTTGTTCGTTTGGCAGGCATTAAAAAAATAATCTTCCACTCACCACTCTGGATTTGGTAGCAAATTAACAGGGTACATTCATTTTAATTTTAATTCTTTAAATAAACTTTTATTTCTCTCAGTAGTTGAAGAAAAGAAACCTTTTAAAGCAATATTAACATTTGCACAGGCCTGACTGGGGAAGGCAGAAAGTGCATAAATCATCCTCAAAATACCAGCAGCCCCCTTTTGTGACAGTCATGAAATCAAATCACACACCGGAGTTCAGTGGCACCTCTGCCTTATTTTCTCAAGGGGAAGAAAGTCACCAGAAACACTGAATTGTAGTTAGGCTAAGAGTTAGAAGACTGTACCACTGTAATATTCATACAAGCCTCCAAGATTCACGGAAAATGCACCCTGCGCTATACTTTCCATGAAACAATTCCACAGGGCAGGCAAGTAGAAACCGCTTTTGCTGACTGCTCTTTTCCACCATTGGTGACACTGAATTGGCTGGAAACTGAAGTGCAGGCATCGTTCAGACACCCCACGTTTTTACCACCTTTTCTCCAGGATGTCTCTGGGTCCCATGTGCTTTGCTAGCTTTGTTGATTCAATGGTGTGTGCATTGTGGGGGTTTGCTTGGGGGTGTTCCCTGCACTCTCCCCCTTTTTTTGGCTGCTTTGTCCTGCTTTATCTTTTATTTTAGGGCGGGGGCAGTTGCCTATCATTTTGTCTGTGCTTTCATTTATTTATTAGATGTATATCCGACCCTTCTTCCCAATGGAATCCAGGGATTATTTTGCAGATGGCAGCAGAGGTCAGAATCACCAACGTTTCACCTGCGAAATGGCAGCTTCTTAGATTTCCAAATGAGCCCACGAGCCCCAAAAAGTAGAGCATGCACACACCACATGCATATCCAGAAATGTTTTTCTTTCCTTTAAGAGGGCTAAAAGAATACAATAAATTCAGAAAAACTAAATACCGTGATGCTTTTTGGTAAAGGGCTTTAATGTATACAAAAACAATATTTTCAAGACTTATGACTTTAGTTTTTTTAAAAAGACAAACCAAGTGGCCCCCTAGCAGAAGTGTTGTTTTGAAAGCTCGCATGCCTCTTTCTGCTTACTTTCCTCTGTGTCATGAGGATCTTTCAGTGAGACATATAAATGTATAAGCTGCCATTCTGTTAAAGATCTGCTGCCTCAGGAATGTTTTCTGCAAGCTGCAAAACCAGTTAGCAATTCAAACTTGCCAGAAAGGGCTTCGTTTGTATTCCAAATATGGGTAAAACTAATGTTAATGTGGGTATTTGTTTAGAGCAGAGGTACTTGGTATTGCAATAAGACATAGTCTGAATATATTCTGTTATATTTCTCAAGTTTCCCTTCAATTCAGAAACAGCTTTCTATTCCTATGTGTACTATAGAAAAGAAAATAGTGGAGAGTGTTTTATTAGAGGTGGATATTGCAATTTCTAAAACTTCTATATTGGGTCGAGTGTTAATATGATCTTTAAATTTCATGAATTATAAACAACGACCACAATTTTTCTTCAAGTGTAACAAAGCAATCGAAAACTCCAGATCTGCTAGCTGAAGGTGATTTAGAAGGAGTGGAGGTTCCTCCGTGCCAGTGGAGATCTTTGCTAGCAGTGGGGCAAATCCATCGGATTGGCCCCATGACATTCACAGGGAACTCTGAAGGGAGAGTGCTGATGGCGGTGCTTTTACGGGGCAGATATAAGTAGGGGTGAGGATGAGGGATAAATTTATTTTGATCCCATTATAATGTGAACCTACCTAATTTTCACTTCCTGAAAAAAGAAAACCAAAGCACAGCTATCCTCTGAAATTTGCACTACTCTGAATTTTGCAGTGCAGTTTTCCAACCAAAAATGTGCACAAGAATGTGCTTATTAGGGCATTTAGAGGGAAAAAAATGTATCTGTGTAGATGCATGTGTAAAAAATCTGCTTCCTATCTAGGTTTCCCTGAGCCCTTGTGATACAAAGCAAATCTAGGGGGAAGGATGTAACGCTAGGGGTAGAAGGAATGCCTTGATTAGAAAAAGTCCTAGGTTCAATCCTTGACATGGCCAGAGAGCTGGAGAAGATTTCTGGAGAACCACTCAAAACCTGCCAATGCACTGTAGATAATACTGAGCTAAATAGATCAATGGTCTGACTCGGTGGCCTGGTTCACACATCACTTGAAAACATAATTCAAATTAAGCTATGGTTTAAGGTGAACAATCAACATGCTGGTGGATGCTGTTCAAATGTATCCACAGTGTTCCTCCCTCTTCCTTCCTTCACCAAACAAACCAAAGGCTGACCTGTTGTTACATGTTGCCAGCAATCATGGCTTGTTTCTGTCTCAACAAACTAGGAAGGTAAGCCAAATACAGTGGTGCCTCGCAAGACGAAATTAATCCGTTCCGCAAGAGTCTTCGTCTAGCGGTTTTTTCGTCTTGCGAAGCAAGCCCATTGACGGATTAGCGCTATTAGCGCTATCAGCTGTTTAGCGGCTATTAAAGGCTTAAAGGCTTAGGGGATTAGCTGCTAAAAGGCTATTAAAGGCTATTAAAGGCTTAGCAGATTAGATAAAGGGGGGGAAAAGCGAAAAAAAATCTCAAGACTCGAAAGGTATTTTCGTCTTGCGAAGCAAGCCCATAGGGGAATTCGTCCTGCGAAGCAACTTCAAAACGGAAAACCCTTTCGTCTAGCGGTTTTTCCGTCTTGCGAGGCATTCGTCTTGCGGGGCACCACTGTAACCACAAGCCAGCCTTCAGTTTGTTTTCTCCTCTGTGCAGGGAAAGAAGGAACGGAAGAGGAGCAATTAATGAACTTTTAGACAGTGGGCATCAATACATTGCCCATTCTTGCTAAACCATAGTTAAATTTATTTTGACTATGGTTCAGTGTCATGCGCAAAATGGACCAGTATAAGGCAGCTTCCTATGTTCCTCTGGAAGTAAGTAAGATGCAGAGACCAGAAACTTTGACCTGGACAAGATGTTTATACAGTGGTACCTCGGGTTAGGTACTTAATTCATTCCAGAGGTCCGTTCTTAACCTGAAACTGTTCTTAGCCTGAAGCACCACTTTAGCTAATAGGGCCTCCTGCTGCTGCCGTTCTTAACCCTGCTGCAAAGTTCTTAACCCAAGGTTCTATTTCTGGGTTAGCAGAGTCTGTAACCTGAAGCGTATGTAACCTGAAGCGTATGTAACCCGAGCTACCACTGCAATCATTATTGCTGCAGGATTGCAGTTTGGGCCTTTGCAACTAATAGTACGCATACTTAGCAAAAGTGCAATTTAGGACTTTAGTTTAGGGAAATCATTTCACTCCATTTATTTAACTAAAGGCCTGAATTGCACATTTTAGATAGTTAAAAATAGTACAGGAGGCTAAGTAACCATCTTCCATTTGAGCAGAGATCAAATCCACATCTGGAAAATATTAGCACGTACTGAGGTTTTAAAAGCGTGGGTGGTAGAATGTGCTCATTTACTTCACATGTTTCAACGATGATGCTCACATTCATTTCGAGACCAATGTTGGTTTCTGTTTTATTTTTTTGTCCATCATAGTTGCTGTTTTCTACTAGAAATATATTGAAGTTGGCCAACAATCAACTCCATAGCCCAAGTGTAGATGTCATAAGAGCATAGAAGCAGAATTTGTGCAAGACAAAGTAAAAAGGGATTCCCACCCCTGTGTAGATTCTGTCCTTTTAACAAGTAAAAAGCCAAACGCCAGCAGGGAAAGCTTCCCAGATATATGCAGATGCAAGGTTTTTCCAACTGACCTGCTCTTGTGAGTTTAACAAGAAACCAGCACGATGGTGAACTTCTGCAGCGCATAGATGAAAATAAGCAATAATGCCAGCTAATGTCAGTAGTTCAAACTGCTATTAAATACAGGGGCATATGAAAATGTTGGGAAGCTTAACAGATGCAATGATTTCCTTCCGTTATGCAGCACAGAAGCTTGGTTTGGAGTGGGGGGAGCAGAGGGGAGAAAGAGAAGATCGGAATCCTAGCCTATAAAAAGAGGAAAGAGAAGAGCTGTCCTGGCAGAAGGAAGAAATACCACAAAAGAAGGGAGACAGGACAGAAAGTCCAAAACCAGAAAGCCACAGGTGCTCTCAGTTATGTATTAGGTAGTGAAATATCCTAGGCGTTTCAAGCTGTGCCTGTTTATCAGGGACAGAAAATCCAACGCCAGCTTCCCTATTCCAGCCTTTGAGTGAAGCAAGGAAATTAATTCCAACCTCAGAGCACATATACTTCCTTTCTTTCCCCTTGCTGTGAGGAAATAACTTACAAAATGCATAAATGGCACATCAAATATGAAGCATGCCTGCGTGTATTTTTAGTAGCATTCGTCGCTTGCATGTATTTTAAAGAGGAACGGGAAGAAAATGCTCTCTGTTTACCATGCTGCTTCAATCTTGAGGGCAAGCACATCCAACACACACTTAAAGCACGCTGCATTCTCCAAAGCATCCTGGAAACTGTAGTTTTGTGAAGGGTGCTGTGAATTGTACCTCTGTGAATGGGACTACAGTTCCATTACATGGAAACTACAGTTCCCATGATTCTTAGGGGGGGCGTTGTGTGCTTGAAATGTTTTGTAAATGTGTGGAATGCATCTGCCCTAGGTCTCCCATTTTTTAAAGCAGAGCCGAGGAACCTGTGGCCATCCAGATGTTGATGGATTTCAGCTCCCACCAGCTGCAGTCAACAGGATCAATGGTCAGGGCTGGTGGGAGCTGTAGTTCAGCAGCATCTGGAGGGATGGAACAAGCCACAAGCTGAGGAGCACATAGGATGACCAGATGCACTTTAAAAAGTTTTGTCCCTCCACTTTCTCTGGAAAAACTCACTGTTTACTGGTGAATAGGAACAAATGAGACCTGATTGACAATTGTTCTTGTTCAGCAGTAAGCAGTGGGTTTTCCCAGGGAAAGCAGCAGGACCAAAAAAGAAACCCCTTGGACAAATGAAAGCATGAAGGAGCCCTAAGATGTGTATAAGAGGGAGTTTCAGTAGGTTTATCAATGCCTGCTGAAATTTCATTTATTTCTTTAAAGTTCTTACACACATCATGCAGACCTCAAAGCAGTTGCCATGAAAAATATACCTCAATAATAACAAGATCAATGAAATATCGATGAAATATCATGAAATAAAAAACATACATAATCATTCTATTAAAAATAGAGCCAGCCCCCAAAGGCTTTTCAAAACAAGCCGGTCTTCACCCAGCAGCTGAAACACATTAATGCTGGATGTACATTAATTGTACATCCAATTCCCTCTTTCCCATAATTATTGAAGGTGCAGGAGGAGCCCTCTTTTGCACCTAGTCGCCCTAGGAGGGACTCAGAATATATGTGAAAAAGCCAGGAAGATGTAGAGCTGCCCTTTAGTTGTTCAGCTGTTCAGTGTGCCACATGACACCTGCTGAGTGACAGCAGAGGATCAGGACCGAATAAGTGCACCAGCTGTGCTTCCATGAGGCTGCCTATGCGTCCGTGTATAGATCCTCCATTCATTTTGAATCTTGCAAGATTTGAAATATATATACACCTATATATATGTATATATATGTATTTTTAGTAGCATTCGTCGCTTGAAGGATGAAGGAGGCTTGCTCCATCCCTCCAGATGCTGCTGAACTACAGCTCCCACCAGCCCTGACCATTGATCCTGTTGACTGCAGCTGGTGGGAGCTGAAATCCATCAACATCTGGATGGCCACAGGTTCCTCGGCTCTGCTTTAAAAAATGGGAGACCTAGGGCAGATGCATTCCACACATTTACAAAACATTTCAAGCACACAACGCCCCCCCTAAGAATCATGGGAACTGTAGTTCCCATGTAATGGAACTGTAGTCCCATTCACAGAGATACAATTCACAGCACCCTTCACAAAACTACAGTTTCCAGGATCCTTTGGAGAATGCAGCGTACTTTAAGTGTGTGTTGGATGTGCTTGCCCTCAAGATTGAAGCAGCATGGTAAACAGAGAGCATTTTCTTCCCGTTCCTCTTTAAAATACATGCAAGCGACGAATGCTACTAAAAATACATATATATACATATATATAGGTGTATAAAAACACATATATATATATATATGTATATATATATACATATATACAGGATATAGAGGCATAAGGCATCTCCTCCTCTATATCCTGGAAGGTATGCTTTGGTGCAAACTCAACTGTTTCATTTTCAACTTCTATAGTTAATTAATCTTTGTCCAAAGGGCATGTTCTTGTTTCTCAGAAGTATGCCTTCATATTGCTAATGTTCTACCGAAGTGACCTGAAGTGGGTTAACAATTATCACTCTATAGTTTTCTAGCCAATTATCTCCAAAGGTTTTAGAACGGATTATTTATTATACTCCATTCGTGCAGTGATAAAAACAAGCTTGCAAATTAATTTAGATTCCTCCGGGGGAATTATAAATCTATACTTTAGCACAATGAAAGGGCAGCAATTATTTATTTATTTATTTATCTCTCTCTTCTTCCTTAATCTTCATATAACATTTTCTGTGTCAAATGTAATAAAACAATGATTTAAAATGCAACTTTTATATATATATATATATATATATATATATATATATATATATATGGTCAATACATACTCAAGAAGATATGTGTTCATAATATATAATGTACTGTGGATGTGTTACATATGTTTAAAATGTTTCTTATAGGATGGTCAAATACAAAAGAAGGCAGGGCAAGGCAGGGCAAAGCCATCATTCCAACATCAGCATCACTGAAGCTGACATGGATGAGGAAAGGTCAAGGCTCATGGGCATACCAGGAGAGGCAATTCTGTGCTCCCATATAACCCCACCTTCCTCACCACTGCTGCCTGGTCCCAGAACTTGCAGTGACCATGGTGTTGGGAGGTCCACACTGGTCACTACTGCAAGTAGAGGAGGGCATTTCACCAGCTGTTGCTTGACATAACAACACCACCTACTGAAATTTGCCTTCTACACTATTAAATGTGCAAAAGCCCTGTTCTATTTTGTATCTCTCCATCCATATTAACACAAGACACAATCTAGCTGCAACTAACAGCCCAATCCATGTTTACTTGAATGGAAGTCCCCTGAGTTGAACTCACTTTCAGTTCAGTTTCCATCAGACTACAGCTTTCATCACCTTGAAGTCAACAGCATTCAGGTCACTACTTTGACCAGTTCTAGTGCTTTCAATGGGATGTGCATTAGAATGTGCATTAGAATTCTTTAAGTGCACATTATGATCATAGAAACAAAACAAGACAAAGGGACTTTATGCCCAATCACTTTTCTAGATGTTTCTTTGTATGTCTTATGTGTTAAAACAATGGGGATGAATAGAAGATGTAAGGTGAAGTTGCTGCTTTTTACAGTGCTCGAACTATGAGTGGGAAAGGTAGCTGAACCCTAAATGAAAACCACACAACACATACCTTTAATTCTTCCAATTCTAGCTGTTCTTTAACCTTCTAAAAGAATAGCTAAGGACATGGTCACAAAAGATAAAGGAGCAATACCGATGCTGGGTGGGGCCCATTGGGATTGGTAGGCAGAGTCAACTAATTCTAGCTTGGTTCCCAAAGTTTCCCCAGTTGAGTTCTGCAAGGGTGATACTGAGATAGAGGAGGAGGAGGCTCATTTGCAGTACTGCCCCCTAGAAGGCAGGGAGGAAAAGGGGTCTGGTCAGTGCTCGGAATGAACTAGTTCAGTTGAACAAAGTTCACTGAATTCATTCAAACATCTCTGAACTCCACCTGCCAGTAGTTCCCACCTACGGGACCGCCTCTCCTGGTATGCCCCACAGAGAAACTTACGGTCTTCAAATAAAAACATCTTGAAGGTCCCAGGCCACAGAGAAGTTAGGCTGGCCTCAACTAGAGCCAGGGCTTTTCGGCTGTGGCTCCGATCTGGTGGAACACTCTGTCACAAGAGACCAGGGCCCTGCGGGACTTGACATCTTTCCGCAGGGCCTGCAAGACAGAGCTGTTCCACCAGGCCTTTGGCCAGGGCACAGCCTGACTCCCTCCCTCGGCAATCTTCACGGAGCTCTGGCCCAATGGTTGCCAGTGGCTTGAATTAATTAATTTTATAATGAATGATTTTAGAGTGTTGTTTATGCTGTACTTTTATACTGTTTTATTGTTGTTAGCTGCCCTAAGCCCGGCTTCGGCTGGGGAGGGCGGGATATAAATAAAATTTATTATTATTATTATTATTATTATTATTATTATTATTATTATCATTGCTAGGTGAACTGAACCTGAATTAGGTTTGTTTTGGGATAGAACTTTTAACTAGTTCTACTCAGTTCATGTGTTTTTTATGCCTTAGTTCATGTGTTTTTTTACACTTGAGACTCTTTGGGCCTCTATGGTCTATTGATGGCGGGAACAGACAAATGTCGATGTTTTATTAGTCTTCTTAAGTATATTTTATCCTTCAGCAAAGCAGCTTGTAGCACTGTGAATGTGAAAAAAAAATTCCAATGATCATTTGGATGAACTTAAATTTGGAACTGAACCAAACTAGTTTGTTTTGTAAAAGGAGGGGTGTGAATTGGAATCCATTTCTTTTGGGACATCCTGAGCTTGAACTAGTTCCTTTCTAAAATGAACTTTGAAAGCTCTGCGCTGGTTGAAAGCAGACTGAAGTTGGAGGGCAATGCCCCACTCACTCTAATGGACCAGCCTCCCTGAGCCGTGCCCCCTGTTCCACCCCACCTTCCAGTAATTCAAATGCTGATGTTGTGATACAAAAATATATCAAAATATTAGCTTTTCCACAAGGTGCTGCATTAAGTTACAAATGAAAATATGAAATGCAGTTCTCGATAGTCTCTTGGAATTTGAGTCTACATTATATATGAAGCTACACTGAGGACAAGTTTTCATGATTACATCTCCCGAGACTGGTTGCTACCTACTCTTATAAAAGGGATAACCAATTCATTGCAAGAATAGACTTTTAGAACAGGAGCTGCCTTGGCGCAGGCTGCTTAGTAACCCAAACACAAAAAAGGCTAATAGCAGCTTAACAGACAGTGAACGGTGTGGGAGAGACAAAAGAGAAATATAAACTGCGCTAAGGCAAACTACTTGAATAGCAAACCTTCCTGCAGCACTGATATTTTCATCTCCCAAGACTCCTAATTTATCCAGCTCCTTCTATTTTATTCACTTTCATGCTTGTTACAAGTGCCTGTCACCAAATCTGCTGAGTTTTGTTTGGCTGCCTTTGCAGCAAGGCTTTTGACATCGGGAATTCAAGATGTAGAACATGTCAGTGACCACAGTCCTGCATAATTAGCGACGACTAATAATTTTCTAGTACAGCATCGCACACACAAAATGACTTCTTTGCTTCTTTAAAAAATTGAATAGGCATGAATCAAAACAGGACCAAGAAGGCCAGCACCTTTCAAATTTTCATCGCTCTCTGATCTGGAGTTCAGAAGGTAGGCTGGTAGCAATTTTGTTTGAACATTTCTGCAAGTAACCAGGTTCCAAACTGCAAATTAACATTGTGGGCAAAGGTGCCCCATTTTGATGCTGTCTTCAAAATAGAAATCTGTAATTCTATGCAATCTTTTCCCTTTTAGCAGCCAACATATCTAAATTATTACTTCCTTGTTTCTAACAGACAAAAGGTTCTGAAATAAATTCTGGACAAACATCATTTATCCCTTTCTAGGAGGTTGTTCTGGAGCAAAGCTAGAATAACAAATTGGGTCTGATCTTCCTAGCAATAATTTGGCTGCAGATTTTTGACCTTTGCTCTTTTCATCAGCCGTCAGTCTCAGCAGAAGTATCCCTAAAGTGCAATCCTATACATGCTTCCTAAAACAAAAGGCAAAAAGTGGGATTCAGTGGTGCTTACTCCCATGCAGGAAACATGATTTCTAAGAATACTCT